TACGGTGTGTTAGGGTAGAGGAGTCCCATACAGGGACAGGGGCTCAGAGTTTTGTTGTGAGCACTGGCAGTAAATATGTTGCTGGTTCATGGAGAGTTGAAGTATCTCTTTTGAGAGGAGGAAATGAGCTTGGAGGAAGCGAAATGTGCGAGATAGAAATGTAGGATGAAGGATCACGATCATTATCACTGGCTTTGATACTATTATGAGTACTATTTGCAATCGACCAACAAGACCAACATCATCATTATTACCATCATCATAACCCTTATTGTTACCATCATTATTACCATCATCATGATCCTTATTATTACCATCATTATTACCATCATCATGATCCTTATTATTACCATCATTATTACCATCATCATGATCCTTATTATTACCATCATTATTACCATCATCATGATCCTTATTATTACCATCATTATTACCATCATCATGATCCTTATTATTACCATCATCATGATCCTTATTATTACCATCATTATTACCATCATTATTACCATCATCATGATCATCAATGATGATGATCATCATCATGCTGTTACTAAGGCAATTATGATAATTAACATTGATAATCTTCGAGGAGAGTAATGTCGATCGATCATGTGTTTCAAACTCATCAGCATTATCATCATCAAATTCACCATCACTCGAAGTGTCAATCGTGGATAACGATAACCGTGCTGCACTGCTATCCTAACTTTACCGCTACCCTTTCCAGTTTCGTCGTTGACAATCAACAACCACACCTTCCCCGTATACACGATAAGTTCACAGGCTCCAATGGTCAATGTGAATTCGCGGGGTATGGCACCATGCGCTGCACTCATAGGCACTCAGCTCGTTCTATCAGGACGTGGTTACGCCTCGCAGACAGGCACGATATCACTTGGGCACAATTTGCTGTTGACGGGATTCGCAATTTCCTATGGTTCAGTAAGCGAGTCGAGTAATTCCTCAGGCCAAATAATTGTGGTCGTGAAAGTTGCATAAAATTGGAGATGCAGTGTTGAGATTCATGTTCTTTTTCTCAGCTGATCTCAGGAGTTCTGGTAGAAGTGTGCAGAAACTAACAAGAGTTTCCCATTTTTTTTCAGATTTTGGATATTGTCATCAACGCATGTTGTTGACCATATGCATATCTTCCCACACGGGTACCAGTGCACATCAATCGCAATGCTATGGCAGGTTTTTTATTAATAGCAGCAGTGGTGTACTTGATCTGTTCTCGCGGCCTGAACAACACAAGCGCTAAAGTTGAATTCTTCTCGCTAGCAGTTCTATTCAAGTCGTTCATCATTGACATTTCCATTCAAGTGAGCCTTCGAACAAGAGTAGTCTCGGATTATCACCATGCAGGTGCTGTTAATTTCTTATATTTACTATTGGTATGGTCGCAATGGGCTCCAGTGTCAAATGTGCATGTTTCATCCGAATCATTGTGAAAACTTCGATGCTGATCCTATGCATGGCGCACTGAGGTCAGCTAAACAAGATTGCTGAGTTCTGCTCTATATCAGCGTACGAGTACTTTGGGACTACATGGAGAATGTGCATCCGCATGATACGACATGGTCTGCAGTCGCCGGTCTTAGATACGTGGTTATTGCGGTAACTCTGTCCGCTCTGACGCCCCAACTCTTAATTCGTCAGAAAACGCTCAACCGTAACGCTAGATATGTGACACCAGACGACGAATTGGATCATCACTGCATGGGCGGCCTCACAAGAATAGGCTTGGCAAGCCTCTTGCTCTTGCCCTTCACTACTGGTGTGCTTCCGTATACTCATCTATCGTCACGAGTACATTCTCCAGCCGAACTTTCAGCCAATCGTTGGAAAGGCTCTCACACACGAACCATATTTTCGATTCTCTGGCGCCTTTCTCAACCCCTCGGAAGACGTTGATTCCGTTCGGGATTTCGTTGTTTTCTTCACATGCCTGCGCCAAAAATCATATATTTCTGTCATATTATTGAACACTATCATCGCCGTGACGCAAGTGACTACAGAGACCCTATCTGTCTCGCTCAAGAAGACTCGCTTTCGTATGCATAAACTTCTGTGCAGGTTTCCTCATATTGGGACCGTTGATTTTCATTCGAGGCAGCGGCGTCACTGGGGGTCTTTACATGTTGCTTGCCATCCCTGTACGAACAAGAAGAGTGTACCGTGTGGCTTGCTGTGCGCTTAGGTCGTGTGTGGTTGGTCACTACTACTGTGTATACCAACGTTGGCGATTTGTGATGATCTAGATGACTATGATTATGCTCCGGTACCGTTAGGGTATATTTAATAATAGTTGAGGAATTAAACTCAGCTCGGTGGGCTGCAGTGCTGGGAGAATATATGTTCGCTTTCCTCAGTTGGAGCTCAGGAGTTTCCAAAGCTACATTATAGAAGTTTATATACGAATAAGTAGAAGTGTACAGAAACCAATAAGAATCTCTCAGAGTTTGCTCAGAATGTTCATATTTTCACCAACACATGTAGTTGACCATGCGCATCTGTTCCACACTGGTGGGTTGCATAGTGATTCGTTCTAGTACTATATCACTACAAGGGGAGTATTGAAAAATTTAGGAAATTCAGGAATAACAGAAGTCATTCCGTGGAAGTGCGTTCAGTCGCGATCAGTGAGATCATGGAAATTGGAGATCTTCCTCTCTGAGTAACCTATAGGCTCGCTGGGAAATCTGTGCTGGTAGAAGCGTGCCAACGTTAACATTCAAATCGCCAGTTTTCTGTCAAGCTGTCAAGCTAGTGTGTTCAATGCTTAACCTGTTCTCAGATACTCATAGACAGCACCGTTGCTAGTCGCCATTCTCTACGTTATATACCATGACTCCCAGTAGTTATCTCCTGTATATGATTTTGTTGTCAATTAGCAGTGATGGGGAGTTCCAAAAGCCGCCGGTTGGATTGTCTTTTACGGTATTCTTGCACGCACCGTTGCATTCTGCTCGTACTTTGTAGCTGTCATCTATAGACTGAGAGACTAGGGGGCAGTGGCGACCAAATGAGGACAGACTTCATTATTCTGTGTTGTATTCTTTCGCTACCATACCTGAATCGCTCGCCCTGTAGTCGGGCAATC